ACCAGAAACAGGCATTTTCTATTGGTGGCACCTTTTAAAATAGGTCACTTCAGTTGTTTAATTATTTTATAAATGGCTTTTGAAGGTATGATGAAATATAAATAATTAGTAAACATGAAAATCAAAAGCTTCGCTGCAACTTTACTATGGGTCCATGTAGCCCTTTAATGCAGCAGTTCTTCAGATGCTTACCTCAATTTACATCATAACCACATGGCCAGGATGTAGCAATACCTCTGTTTGTTCCATAACAAAAGCTTCAATTCAAAGTGCATAGTTTTCAGGCTATAGTAAAAATGTTAATGAGTGCAGTTTAAAGAGATATTTAGAAGCAAACAAACCAGAGTAGCTTTGTTCATAATAGCTCTATTGTTTTCTAGCAGCCTTAAAACATTCTAGCTGTTAGGGACTAGCTGTAAGACTTGAGGTGTGGGCATTGGAGTGCCAGCTGAACATTCCAAAGTATCATGGGATTCCTGTGTCTGTGTTTTACACATGATGCTAATGTAAGGTTGGGTGGGCATCCGAATGGAGAAATAGTGGGGGTGGCATGTTGCAGAGTCCCCTCTAGACCATTTAGAATTTATTTCTTCTCCCCTACCACCTTCAACATTGTCACTAAGCCCGTCTGAGAGGCAAGTAGAGGGGGTGACTATTTATAGGGGAGAACCAGTAGGCATTGTAAGAGTTGTACATCAACACACACCCCCGCCCACATATGGTGATCACATGAATAAAATACATTTGCAGCAATGCCAGTACAATTAAGCAAACCATGGATTAAGTTTATGTTGCAAGCAGAGACACTGGCACTATTGTTTCGGACTTAAGGGTACAGTAAGATTTGTGGTCTAGGAAAATTCATAAGGAGAAAATTGTGTAGAATTAGAAGTTATTTAGTTTGTATAAAAAGTCAGTTTAATATAAAAGTGGTTTTATAGTTAGGAAAACTGCGTTAGGCTTAAGGTAGCCCTGGATTTCTGCATGGATAGGAGATCAATTATAATTATCAAGAAAGAGGGATTGAAATGGTTTCCAGACAGCTCTGGAGGATTTTCCATCTGGAATCATTGCAAAGTGCAGCTGATTTAGTAGGTGACTGGAATCAGGAGGCCTTGCGAGGAGTGGGTATAATTTCTCTTAAGCGTTTTCTTCCATATCTTCAAGGTCATTAAGCGCACTGGTTCTCAGTGGAACTGGGTGCTGTGAAGCAGTTGGGACGACATGAATGATGGTGGAGGAAGGTGTGTGCTGAATCTGACTGAAAACAAGAAAGAGCTCATCTTAGTGCCTACTCTGTCAGTTATGGTGGCGAGGAAAGTTTACTTCTCTGCCACCATTGTGTCTGTGTAGTGCTTACCAGCCATATTGTTTGTGTGATTTAAGAGGCTTGTTGTATTTGCCCTGAAAAAAAATCGAGGATATTTTAAAACTTCCTGTGATCAACTTGCCAAACACTTTGCAGATAGAATCGTGCCCAGTTTAGCTAGGACACCAATTTGTCTCCAGAGGTTCTGAATACTCCTGAGGTTTGTGTTAGTAGGTATCTATGGATTCATTTCAGTTGGCGCAGTTGGAGAATATGAACAGAATACTTGGAACAATAAGGCCTACTTCAAGTTTACTGGACTTTGTCTGTTCTTGGTTAATGAGAGGGGGGAGGGTTATCTCAATGAATGTCTGCTTCCCCCAGCTCTGAAAAAAAGCAGTTGTCAAGTCTTGGGTGAAAAATACAACATTACACCCATCTAGTTTGAATAATCTAAATAATTACAGGCCTCCAGAAGAAGGGGATTACCATACAGCTGTAGGAGATTCTGGATGAAATTTATTTCCAAAATCCATTTGTGTTTGGCTTTCATCCAAGTCATAGCACAGAAACAGTTCAAGTTCCTTGACCTATAGGTTTCCATAAGTTTCTATCTTGTCTGCCATACTGTTTAGAACCTATTAAAACTGCTGGGAAAGATCATTTTCCAGAGAAGCTCTGAATACGTTTAACTGTGTATGGAGGGTAAACAAACTGACATTAAACCTAGACAAAAGGAAGGGACTGAGTGTTGAGGATAGATCTGACCAAGGAATAGATGTTCAACCTGTACTAGTTGGAATTAGGGATGTGCACCTGAAAAAAAATGTATTTTCCAGATTTGGGTTTTGAGAAGGGTGTAAATACTGGTACTCTGGGTTACTTGGGTCCCCCAATAACATTTTGGTATTCCAACGTGGGGGTTTTATTGGAATCCCCAGATTTTCAGGTCCGTTATTCCCTGTGTGGAAATCTTTCCAAGGGGCTGGAGTGACAGTTTTTCAAGCAAACAATGCCAAAATTGTAGGGAATCTAGTTCTGCCTGTCCACTAAAGACCATCCAAGTTTCAAGCAAAGTGGAATAAGGCCCCTGCAAGGTTCCCTCAGCCATCCTACTTGTCTTCATTGTTTCCTATGGGGAAAAATACCATGCTGTTTCCAGGGCGAAGAGCCATCAGCCAAAAATACAAGAGCAACCACTGCCCAAAACCTGCAAATGCAAACAGAACCAACAAGCCCAACAGATTCAACATCAAACCATAGAATCTCACCAGATGTTATGTGTCACACAGGGTCACCAACATGTACACCTTCTGCTGGGTGAGAGGTTCCAGGTGGGATGCAGTACCTTTTTGCAGGCTCTGCACCAGCACATACACTGCTGGAACAATATCTGCATGTCCTATGCCTGGGTCCCCTGAAGCATTTGGATGAATGGATTTGGATCAAGAGATCCAGGCTTGCTGTGTCAGACAAAAGTGCTTTGGTGAGCTCCTTAACCGTCTTAAGGACCCCCAACACGCCTCATTGCAGAGCGCTCTCTCCCTTACACTGTGTCGACCTTCTCAGTCAAATAGCTCGGGTGCTCTTCCGCTTCACCAAACACTCAAACATGGCGCAGGTGGCGTTCCAGTGAGTGCCAATGCCACTGATCAGATGATGCTCTAGCATGCCCATCAGAGCCTGTTTCTTGCTCAGGAGATGGGTACCCATCACACTGCATGAGAAGTGACTTATGAAATTCTGGCAGTTCTGGAGAAGGTGCTAGAAATCACAAGTCACAGCATCCAGTTCAGGATTCTCTGCAGAACCCAATTCCAAGCCACTCTTCACCACCACATGGAATAGGTGGGCTGTACAGTAAATGCCCTTCAGGCCCCAACAGCCATCCTGTGCAAGGGGAACGGGGAAGGCCAATGAGGACTCCCAGGCTGGGATAGCTGGATTCCTGGCCCTGCTTACCTGCCAGTGCATGGTTTGCCCCTTCAAACTAAGCTAGTGGAGATAGGTACCTGTTAGGGTTCTTCAGTGAGACGTATTAGCAGTGTGGACATTGCTTTCTCCCTTGGGGGTTAGTGCTAAGTGCTCCCCTAGTAGTGCTAATTGCATTTCCTGTGCCTCTCCTGCCACCAAAGTGCAATGCTGTGCACCGTAAGTCCATGTGACAGAGAGCTCTAAGGCAGAATCCTATGCCATGTGCCCTACCTATGGAATTATAGGGAGTCCTGTCTGATCCTTATTTGTGCTGAGGGGAGGGGAGTTGTCTGTTGCTGGGAAGGGAGGTGATTGGCTGTGGCTGTAGGCATCATCCTGTGTTCCAGGATGGGCTTTTGGAAGTGGTTGTGCTTGTTACGGGGCACGTGGCCTTTTCTGTTGCAGGGGGTATCTAAGCTATGCTTTTTGCTGGCCTAACTTTCTGCTGCTGTTGGGGAGGGGTGATCCTGGGCTGGAGTAGGTTAGGAAGCCATATAACTCCTGCTATGCCCCCTGGCCCACCCAGTTTCACACCGGTACAGGGTTTCGCACCTGTAGCCCACTAGCAATGGGGCAGCACTAGTAGCAAGCACTGGTATAGAGATGTAAAATGTCCAGAAATTTTGAAAATCAAGAAAAAACCCGTTTTTTCCCCAGGTTTTTTGGAAAAAACTGAAATTTTCGGAAAAATTGAAAAAAATGCTACATTAGCATTTCTTTTGTCTTTTCTAGATTGAAAGTCATTCTGTTACTTTAGGAACATAAAATATGACTATGGACATTTTTACTTGGCATGAAATTATCACAACTAGCATATTAAAAATATAGTGTATCCAAACAATTATTACAAACAGAATACCCACCCACATGCAAATACAAAACTGAAACCTTTCTATTTTCTTCTGACAATAGCACCTCCTAAAGGAAGAAATGCATCTTGTTCTTGCATTGGAGAGTTCAGTTTGTAACCTAGGACTTGCTTGTCCTCAGTGCACAGAAATTAGATCAGTCTGATATATTAGAAATGATTTGGAAAATATTTGAACACCTTGTCGTAAAATATTTTATCCATCATGTTAAAATAAAACGTTCCATAATCAATTTTTTTTTCATTTCTTTTTTCAATTTTTCCGGTTTTTTTCCGGGCCTTCACATCTCTAGTGTGGTAGCATTGGGGAACCCAGTGCAGCTCTTGCTTATACTGATGTAGCTCCGAGATACACTGGTGTAGTGGCTAACTGACACCGTAAATGCTTTCACACTCACAGGATTCTTGCCCTTTGCAAATTCTTTGAAACTGTCATAATAATTCCCTCTCCTACAGCAGAGCTCTGAGCCCCCGGTTATTCCCAAGACTCCTCTGTCCCCCAGAAGCTGCATTTTAGAGGACATTTTAGGCTCCAGTGGGAGGGAGGAGGAGAGGAATTCATGTTCTGTGAATGAAAATCCTTTCCCTCCATGGAGGTTGCCTGTGAATCCCTGCCACAGACCTTTGAACTCATACGGGCTAACACATCTAATTTAAATCATATAACAAATCAAAATTAAAGGATTCAGTAAAGCCCAAGGATTGCAAAACTATTCTGAAACCATCAATGGGGCTTAAAAGTACTTAACTTTGGCTGGATCATGCCGGTTGCCAATAATGCACTTGGAAATTATATATGCTCACACACGGTTCTACAAAAATATGTGTTTGTCTTTTTTTTCTGAACAGAAACTGGGTGAAGGATTAGCTAAACTACGCACAGCACGAGAGGCTCCATCTGAGTGCAGGTGCCCACCAGGTATGTGAAAGGATGATATGTTGTTGTTGCATAGCTGAATTTTATTTCCAGAAGAAAGCTAATGGGTATGTGACCTACTATTATTTATTTATTCTTATACTGGTTTTCATTTCTCAGTGCAGAGGTGTAAAGAGTCTTTAAGTGTGGAAAGGATGTTTACTGTTAAAGAGTTTAACAGATGTCTGACATGTATGGTAAGCGACAAGGAATAGTTGAGATCCCGTGGTGGTAAATTAATTGTTTTTTTCAGATTTCTCATATCGCTGTGCTTTATTGATGTTTTCAGTACTTGCTAGAGTATGTATCTCTTGTTTCCCCCAAAAAAGTATTCTTTATAGGAGCAGTATGTACCAGGGGTGCTGAGAACTTTGCTAAAATTGTGGTTGACCTTTGAACTGACTTTGCCTGTTTTGTGTCAAGTCATTCACCTCAACATTTTGCTCGCAAACAGCATTCAAGAAGTTTTTCATCTGCTCAGGGGTGCTGGCTGGCTGTTGCTAATGCATTTACAGGCTTGCTTGGATTTCATGTGCCCCAAAGTCATAAACATGTGAAGCTGCCTTATACTGAATCAGGACCTTCTCCAGGGTCTCAGGTTGGGGCTTTTCATAGCACTTCCTACTTGATCCTTTTAGCTGGGCATTCTGTGGATTGAATAAGGGATCTTCTGTATACAAAAGCAGATGTTCTACCACTGAGTCACTGCCCCTATATCCCATTTATTCATACCATGTTAGTGTGTAAGGGGGAGGAGGACTCCCATGGCAAAATACTGAGGTCTGCATCCAAAAAAATTGAATCAGCCAGGCATAATAATCAAGGCAAACCATGCATCATGCCCCTCCTCCAAAACATGATAGTATCATATCTTCTTTAAAAATAAATGTTTACATATGAAAAGATGGTGGATGAGTAAAGTAACACGAGAGCTCATATGCACAGAATATGCATGCATTTTGATCCAATTGTAAACCTACAAAAACCCACACTCTTGAGAGGCTGAGGTCCTGCTTCTTGATATTCTGTGTTTTACTCAGTTGTGTTTTCTTAGGTCATATTAATGAACATGGGTATAATCCCTTTCTGTATGGACAAGGCATGCAATGCTCATGTCTGGAACAGCATGGAGCATGATATTGGAAGTATCTGGATGTTATAGGAATAGGATCCTTTTTTAGATGCTGGGGTCAAATGTTTCCATATGGACATCTTTGTCTTGTACAGAAATCAAAGTCCACCTGTACACCATTGGTTCCATTATTATTTTCTAATGAAAACATTCTAGGCTCCAGCATTTGGAACTGCAACAAACAAAAAGATTATATGTTGGGATTTTCCTGACCTAAGTGGACATAAAACAGGCATGGTTCAGTATAATTTCTGGCATGGGGGGGGGGCAGAAAAAGTATTTTATCCTCTTTTAATCTTAGCCTTTAAATTATATATAATAGTTTTAAATATTAGACTTGTAGCTCTTTTAACCATAACAGTGTAATTGCAGTCTGCTTATTTAGCTAACCACTAGCAAATAAGTTGATAGCTGTCTTTATGCTCAAAGTCTAGACTGATTTTCTTGAAGAGAGGCAACATTGGTTGAGACATTAATCTAAAATCCTTACTTGCATGTCAGTTACGTTTGAAGAAAGGGTAGTCTAATTTTTTTAAATGTACGTTTGGGTCCTTGAAGCAAAAAGAATCTTTTCTTCCCCTTGGAGTTTCTGATTTCAGTCTGATCATGTAATATTTTGCACAGGCAAGTATCACAGCATACAGCCAGTTTAGATTTCTGGCACGGCAGACATATTTAATATGAAGTGCTGGCATTGCTGGCGGCAGATCCTGTCTTCAGCAGCCATTTGGAAATTTGGACTATCAGTTGTTCTAGCTTTCGGGTGGGGAGGGATTGTTGTTTGATTTAAATCTTATTCTTGACACTGAAATACAGCCACTGACTCTATTACAAAGACACGTCCCCACAGAATGAAATCCAGTGCTACACATTGTCAAGCTTCGTTTGCGGCCCTGGAGTTGACCCGCCCTTGGCCGTGGGAGTTGGAGAGGGTTTGTAAAGGAGGAGGTTGCAGAGGGGCCTCAGATAGACAGGGGATGGGGTTATGGTCACCTTGTAGGTCCCTCTGCCAATGTGCGCCGAACACCTTTGGTCCCCCCCTCTCCCCCCCCGTCTCATTCCTTCACACTTTCCTCCTTCCCGGCCTATCCGCTTCTCTCTCCTTTTATCCCCTGCCCCACTCCCAGTGCCACCTGTAATTCCCGTCTCCTCTATTCCTGGTCTGGCCCCACCCCCCTTGATAAGCCCGGATGCCTTCTGGTCGTCCCAGGCATGGTTGTGGGTGTGCGTAGCTTCCCCGTCATGCCCACCCTCAGCCCTTTGTCAGCAGCCTCAGATTTTCTGCTTCCCGGGATAGAGCTCTGAGGTGCCCGATTGAGGGGCCGTGCTCTGCTGGCGTGGCTGCCTCTCCCTGGGTCGGCGCTGGTTGTTTCTCCTGGGGCTTTCTGTGGTGAGGCACCGCGCTGCAGCCCCGTTGGTCATTGTGGTGTCATCACTGCCTTGCTCCTCTGCTGTTCCCCGGGTGAGTGGCCTGATTGGGGCATCCCTTGGGGGTGGGGTCCTCGTCCCGAGGCTGCTGGACCAGGACACACATCTTTTTTGTTACAGCAGCAGAGACGAGAGAATGGGAGAAGGGTGCAGGCAAGGAGGTTCTCAGTTATGAGGAATATATGACTGCAGAACTGTGCAGCAGCCCAGTGCAGATAGTATTAAGAGGCTGGTATGCCCCAACCTGGATAGCCCAGAATTAACCTGATTTCATCAGATCTTGGAAGCTAAGCAGGGTCGGCCTTGGTTAGTATTTGGATGAGAGCTCACCGAGGAAGTCCAGGGATGTTATACAGAATCAGGCAATGGCAAACCACCTCTGAACATGTCTTGCCTTGAAAACCCTGCAGGATCACCATATGATGGCTGCTACTTGACAGCAACATAAATAAACAAACAAATAAATAAATAAATAAGTCTTAATACCCAGTGAGGTACATTCTCTTGTTACAAGCTGTTTTTCTTTCCACCTCCGTAATTGTTTCTTGCACATTGACTTGTAGAAAGAAGAGAAGAGGGGCAGAAATATTAGTCCAGGAATGCACCCTTTTCATTGTTTTATCCCTGCTTTTTAATTTTTTTGCTGAGTGGGAATCTCTTTGCCTACCCGTCTTTCCCTGCTCTTGTACTTCCTGTTGTGTCTGAGTTGGCACCTGGGCAGAGAAGATCTGTGACAATGGATTTCAGTCCAGCAGCTTTCATGCCCATGTTTCTCTTTTTAAAGCAACAAAAGCAAAACAAAATCGCCAGGACAGGGGGGAAAGTTAATTCCAACAACATGCAAACTCAAACTGATATTGTTTTCTTGTTTTAGTAGATCTTTCTACCAGGCAGAAGAGGAGAAATACTCAGGAGTTTGATTCTGTCCTTTCTGGAATCTGTCCAGAATTAAATTCTTGTTTCATTGGGTCAGGATATGAAATTTAGCAGTTGTGCCCATCATCTTGCTGAGCTGCCGTTTAGGTGCACTCAAAGGCTTGGGCCATGTCCTTTTTAATTTTTAATTTTTTTCTCCCTAGGCAGCAAACATGCAAGTCATGACACAAATTGCTCCTGAAAATCTGCTCAGTTTCAAAACTATTTTGCCATATGGAGAGGTTACTTGTCCAGAAACACAACCCCAAAGTCCTTTTGGGAATTTAGAGCTAGGCTGTGGACCTGTACCTGTAGAGCTACAATTAATTGTTGGCTGTCTACTTATATTAAACTCAAATCCATTTGATTCAAATGTTAAGAAAAAACCTATACAAACAATCATAAAAGAAACATAAAGAGTCTTATCCAGTCTCAATTTTAAAAAGTGGACAAAGGGTACATAGTTTTTGCCCCAAGTCATGCTTAGAGTCATCTTATGGAATTAGTTACAAGTATCAGTTCACACAGTGTTATCACTGCTTACAGCGTGCCCTTACAGATTGAAAGGCTTAATCTTTTGAAATTTACTCGCAATTAACCGTTGGTAGAGCATTTGCCATTATTGACCACAAGAGGGAGCTAATATTGTTTCATGAATACCATAGAAACCAAATGATTGAAGTCCTGTTTTCTAACAAAACATCTGAAATAGGTACTAAAATGTAGAGTATGGTTTCATTGCTTTGCAAAGCTTATATTCAAAGATAAACAGTTTGAAAATCTAATCCATCATTTACAAGAATTAGTATTTCACTATTATACCAGATGGGTAGATTAATATATTTAATTAATGTATTTAAAAGCATGTTAGATTTCTGTTCCAATGCTGGTAAATCCTTGCTCAGGCCGCAATCAAGAGTCAGTGATAATTCAAACGTTTTATGTCTTTGTTGTGAGCCTTAATTTTTCCAGAATTTTTCTTTCATTCCTGACAATAATGTATTGTTGGTATTAATTGGTTCTAATGACTACACTGTTTTCACATAATAGACGTTTAATAATGTTGTTTGTTTTAGTGTGAGAGTTAGTGCCACCAATAGGGGAAATAACTAATATTCTACACAGCTCTTCACATGGGATCATTTGGCCAATTTTACTTCCATTTAGAAGACTTGTCTCCTGTAGATGTTGTTTGCTAAAAATCAGTGTAAGAATTCTAAATTTATAAAGTGTTTCTGTTGCATAATTCCTTCCAAAAAATGCTTTATCCTTTGGCCTGTACATTTGAAAAGAAATAGTGTTTTGCTGTGACCAGAAGCTGAAAAGTTGTTAGAGAATGCTACAAAAAAATAATGTTTCATATGCTACCAATTTTTCTCTCTAGCAATCTATGATATGAGAGGCCTGTCTGCAGCAAGTGAAAAGAAATTTTATTTTTGCGAAGTTGGGATACTGGCCAGTGATATGTTGCCTTACTGTCTATGGTGTCTTAGATCTAGTGCAACATAGGCAAGTGTCTCAACTTTGC